ATAGCACCAGAAGATTATAAAAATTATAGCAGAAGTGATTTGGTTAACTTTATTAAAAACGAGGTTGCTGTACAGGCGGATTTGCGAGACCAAGCAGAGAAAGTCCAGTCAATGATAATTTCGTTTTATGCTAATTCTAGCGATGAGACAGATAAAAGCTACGTCGATTGGTTGAAGAATTATACCCAGGTGAACTCGTAGCAGAAATCACTGAGTTTTGAGTGCTTTAATCTAAAGTCAAATTTAGTTACGTATAACTCTTGAAAAAAGATTTTTTTTAACGGTGATAATTTAGAAAAGTCATTTAAGAATTAGCTGCACTGATAGAATATTCAAAACTGCTAATAAGCTATTTGCACAAACGCTATAAAGAGTTCCCTAAAGAACTAAATTTGTGTTTTTGAAAAATGGTAACTGCCTTTCACTTCAGTTCTATTTAATCAAAAAACCACAGTGTTTTTTAGTTGCTCGGAGATATTATATTCGTCGTGCCCGCACGGCTGGAAGCTGAATTGAAAATCCAAGCAGGCTGGCCGGTTTGGCTTTACATTTCCGACTATTACAACCCAGCGTCGTGTAATGAAAGCATGCCAGTAAAAGGTTTTTTTTAAACTTCTGATTTAATTTGGTAGATGTAAATCTAAATAGTTTGGTAAAAACTGTAGAGCTTTTAAAAGAGGCTTTTAAATACTCTCTTTCAGTCACTAAAGTTATTCATGCTTGATACTTTTTTAAGGTGCATTTCATGGTATTGAAGAAACATATATGTTCGACAACTTCCTGTTTGAACGCTACGAATTCACGAGCAACGATACTGCAGTTAAAGAGCAGTTGTTGGATTCTTTGACAAACTTTGCAAAACAAAGGTTTATTTCTAATTGATTTTGATTTGAAACTAAAAACTATACTATAAAATCACATCATCTTTGGCTGAGAATGACTGGCCAAGAGACGTTTATTCGCTTACAAATTGTGTGTGCGGAAAAAACAGTCTGGTGAGCTGCTCGTACAGAAACAAAAAGTTTTTTCGGAAAGTTTGTTTATATTTTCACTAATAGTTGAAT